TTTTCATTGTTTTTTCAAACATTATTGACATAAATATGTATTTGTTATATCAAAATATCAAACAGTAGTTAATAGCCAATTCCTAAGTAAATCCAAGGTTATCAATCTAATCTTGGTGGATAAATAGTTTGTTTAGTTCTATTTTGTGTTGACACTGGAAATACATATTAGTAATTCACACTCTTCTGGAACTGAAGATATAATGTAAATATGTTTATTTAAGTAGGTGATGTTAAGAATATACAAAAGCATAACCTTGAGCAATCACATTCAACTGAACACAATAAAAAGCCTACAGTCATTTTATAAGACGTTTTTTGAGTTTCCACAGAATACCAGCTTTCTGACATGTTCAAACCTGAAACACACACATGCATGATGATATTCGGAGGAGCTACATGTAGTCGTAGCAGAGGGATATTTCCCCAAAGCGAATTTCTAAGCTGCACATACGAGTATCATGAGTGTTGTGTTAAGTTATATCTGTAGGTAGACCTCCGATAGAATTATGCATTTGCATTTAAACCAGCTGACTGATGGGAACGTCTATAGCAGTAGTTTATGGTATATGAGTGTGTAAGAGAGAGAGAGAGAGAGAGAGAGAGAGAGAGAGAGAGAGTGAAAGAGAGAGAGAGCGAAAGTGAGAGAGAGAGAGCGAAAGAGAGAGAGAGAGAGAGAGAGAGAGAAAGAGAGAGAGAGAGAACGAGATTGTAAGTTTAGTGCAACGTAGGCAACAGCAGTCAGGATCTGTTATATTTCATCGTGTGTGTTTAAATATGGTTGTTCATATGCTCTCTCTCCCTCGCTTTCTCTCACCTCTCTCTCCCTCTCTCTTTGTCCCTTCCTCTACCTTCTCTCCCTCTACCTTTCCCAGTATGTTCTCTTTCTTGATGAAATATAATTTTGCGAAAACAAATACACTCATTGTCAGTTTTTTTGCTACAGACTGAATGCATGAATCATGTATTCCAGATAACCCCATTATTGCATAATGCATGGATGCGAAACATCGCGTTTATTGTATTTCATTCGGCGCTTTGGACCTGTCTTTAAAAAATGGGTAAAGATACTTTTTGAAGATACTGAATCATGTGTTTTAGTAAATGGATATGCAAGTTCCATTTTCAACGTTTCAAGGGGTTGTCGCCAAGATGATCCAATATCACCATAAATATTTTATTCTGTGTGCAGAGATACTAGCTAGCAAATAGGATCAGAAGCAATGTAAGTATACACGGCATACAAATGGGGAAAATTCTATCTCTTCTCGCCCAATTTGCAGAAGATACTATACTAACTCTAGATGGCTCAGAAAAAGGCCTCTACGCAACAATGAACGTTTTATCTTCGTTTGTAAGATTTTCTGGATTGAAGATAAATGCTGAAAAAGTCAAACTGATTTGGATCGGGTCAAAAAGGAGAACAAGATATAAGCTCGGTAAAGAGTAGAAAATGGAAAATGTATTTTAATCGGCGGTTGAAAAACCCAATAGACCGGTACATTAAGCAATGCATGGACGTGCCTGCAAATCCAGTCAGAGCATGCATGACAGAAGTGCACATGCGGCAATTTACAATATGAAAGGAGTAGCTTCAAATAAACGCCCCGACTTAGTGAATAACGAAACCATTCGCAAATCTATGGCGTTAATCGTCTTCTGTATTTGCGTTTGTTTCAATGGTACAAAATCCGTCTTTTGGTCCCGTGGCAGGATACGATGGCCGTTTCACCAAACCTGATGTCATCACTGTTTTCATGTGATTCATAAACACATGCCACTGATTTAGTCGGAATCTTTCAGTGGACTCAGCTTTTAGTAACGATTTATCATGATTATGTAGCTGTTATTTATTCACGTTCTGTACGATACCTTTGACATAAATCCCCATCGAGGCATATACAACCAAAGAAGGAATCGTTTGTCTTGGCCGTCAATGTGACATATAAATTGTTTTCAATGACACGCGGTTTGTCAGACAGCGCAGACAGCTTACCCTTCATTACCAGCATAAAGCCATACAGGTTCAGCCTCTGGTCCAATTTAAGTGGTCATAAAACCGAGCGGCATTTGATGGATCTCACGACTGTTTCTAATCCCACATGCGTATCGCTCAATCTGAGACACGCCAACTTAACAACATGGGAACTATAGACCACATTTGTATAGCCGGTTGCGACTGAGGCAAAAGCTACTGCTGCCTTCTCAAATGGTAATTTCGTCTAATGACCCTGGAGCATGTCCAAAACATCCGGCTTCTTCTTGGGGTCAGAAAGTTGATGGTGTTCCTTCATTTTGCATCAAGCTCAAGAGTAATATAACCCAGGCAGACAGAAAGAATTGATAACAAGACGTAAATGGTTTGAGACGTTATATGTCGTGTAGAGAGACGGCGACCATCAGTGGTGCACTTGTGCCAAATCCTTTGTCTTTTGGACAGTAGAATATGTTTAAACAAAATAGAAAGGGGGTCAGAGAATATGTTCTTTTTCAGGACTGAAGAAAAGTAGAGTTGTACGGAGATTTTGGTCAAACTAATAACAATAGAGTCTTTATGAGAGACTAGGTTTGACCGTCCATGTGCTGGTGGAATCACAGTTACCAACAGAGGTTTAGTTTCCCCTGCGATAAAAACTCAATTTTAGGAAAGTGGTTTTATAAACATTTTACGTGTGTTAAGAAGGGCAGACAGACAGTTCTTTTACCGTCTATAACAGTATGCTATAATGCTCGTTATGCATACTCACAATGTGTATTAAATAGAGGGTTCATAAGATCGAAGTTGAGATCGAATTTCAGTATGAACGTATCTTGTAGACTTACAGCCATGATTCCTACAGTTCCACCATGGTACCTGCCCCTTGAGGTGTTTCATTGTTCTTTTTGCTTCTTTCTGTTATGCCAACGAAGGTCCGGGTTAGAATATTGATCTTCAGTAACCCATGCTTGTCGTAAGAGGCAACTAACGGGATCGGGTGGTCAGGCTCGGTGACTTGGTTGACACACGTCATCGGTTCCCAATTGCGCAGATCGATGCTCATGCTGTTGATCACTGGATTGTATGGTCCAGACTCGATTATTTACAGATCGCCGCCCTATAGCTGGAATATTGCTGAATGCGGCGTAAAACTAAACTCACTCACTCTTTCTGTGTTAGCATATACACGTAAATACCTACACCATTGAGGACAGGTATCTGCTGTGATCATAAAATGATACATAGGTCTGTTCAAAACGCACTCTGGGTATCGGGCAATGTGGATGGATGCTGCATACCGCTCTTCATAAAACGTAAGTGTTGCCAGTTTGTTTTGCAAAGCAATGGTACTCGATCAAATGAATCAGTACTGAAACTAGCATTGCTCCAAAAGGTATGATAGCTGTGGGAATTCCCAACCACTTAAAAGCGCCAACTCAAAATTTGATAGAGATACTTTATTACCAAAATATAATATATGTATATAATTTTTCAACCATCGGAAACTGGACCATAATACAAACATAAAATATGAAACATGAACACTTGTAGACGTTGAAGCATTCTGTTGTAATGGCTGAACAACACCACGATACCATCCACTGTCTTGGTAGTATCACACTGCTTTCCTTTGTCAGACTATTGGTCAGTTGGAAGTATATGAAATGTACATTCTGTTTAAAGAATAATTGATTTGCATATTTTATTGGAACATTGATCGGTAACATGGATATTAAATGAACGTTTTTTATATGAGTGTTTGTGAAAAAGAAATATGTTTAAGTGGACCATTTTCACGGGATGTCAAATTGCTTATGTCCACTACCGGAGGTCTGATTCATTCAAGGATGTTTTTTTCAAAATGCACGGTAAATATATATAACCGCTTATTTGAGAATTCTTCAAGCGACAGTAGTTGAGACACTATTTGGACAGATGCGAACAGTGATGTGAATGAAACCTCTGTGTGTGCAGACATTTCAAACAGGAAGCCGTCCACGACCACTGATCCAAGTTACTATCTTGCTGCAAGGTCGTAATATAGCTGGAATATTGGTGAATGTGGTATCACAAAAACGAACAAACTGAATCTCAAAGAATAAACAACAACCACATCCCTCTATGTCGCAACAGCCAATTGGCCAACTCCATTTCGGCTGCATCTGGCTGCACCTCAGACCTGCTTTTGTGTCTTTGTTCGTTAAAAAACTCACTGATCAATATTCAAGCAATAAGGGCGGTATGTAAATAATCGTGTCTGGACCAGACATTCCAGTAACTGACAACATGTGCATTGATCTACGCAACTGGGTCACAATGACATGTGTCAATGGAAGGGACAAAATCCTTTCCACATTCATAAGAAATCTCTGCCAAAAGCAGAGTCGATTGTACAATGGTGACTATATCATGAGCAGATGTTTGTTTCAGCAGTATTACAGCTGTGTGATGTTGGTTGTAAACAAATCGGGTCTGAACCAGACAATCCAGTGATTGTCACCATGCAATACGATGACAGAGCATGTGTTTATGAAACAGAAACACTTTGAAATAATGATGATACCAGGTGTTCGCTAAAAGGTGAGCATATCCTGCCCCACCGGTGGAATCCGTCATAAAGTCTAGTCATTTGTTCACCTGAAATAATTTGGGGAACGTATGGCATAACCAAGTTCGTTGCATCGACTCTTACGACAAGCATTGATTGCTTAAGATCCACTCATACCCGGATATTCACTGCTAGCCTTATACCTACCTGCCTCATTTACTCCATGCCAGAGAGGCGGTTGGGTAGCCTAGTGGTTACAGCGTTCGCTCGTCACGCCGAAGATCCGGGTTCGATTCCCCACCTGGGTACAATGTGTGAAGCCCATTTCATGGCCGTGGTATTGCTGAAATATTGCTAAAAGCGGCGTAAACCTAAACTCACTCACTCACTCAACACTCCATGCCAGACGCAGACGAAACGTATAATCCATTGAGGTAATCGTCCGTCAACATTTATCAACAAAACAAGAAGTGTACACGTGGATACAAATTGTACTTTCGGATACAAATATAATATAAGCATGTACCATACTTGATCTGCAGTACAACATGTTTCCATTGGCAATACACGACAATAAAAGAGTATATTTCAGCAGTCGGCCTGAAGTTAATGACCAAGGCTTGTGTTAATGTCATCCACAGAGGTCACAAGATTTGTTTCTTCTTTCACGTATATGTCTTCAATTATCTTGGGCATAACCGGTGTGACTGCTGGTGAAGAGCATCGCGACTTGGAGCTCTCTTCCTGTATCGTAGTTGGAATGTTCAACGTATAGTCCATGATCTCTTTAACGTGTTTGTCTGGTTCCACTACACACTGCCCATTGAGGTCTGTTTTCTGGTCATCCACTAAGTGCTTCTTGATTGACGGCAGTTTGTGAAGATGGAGGTGTTCCCGGCCCTTCGGGTCCCGCCTCTTCCCCGAGGAGTTTGAATCTGTGTTCAGGGATCTGAGACTGGTGTTGCTGGACCGGGAGAACCTCAGACTGCCAGACCTGGAGGAACTGTCACTGCCCCTAATGATGCGGATGAGAGGGTTGCGGGACACCCTGGCTTGGACCTGGCCATCCTCGGGGTTGTAGTCCACCATCACCTGCACCTGGTAACAGAGTAGATGAGATGATGATATAACACAGAGGAAAGTCTACATCATTGGTTTTGCGATGTCTTCATGCTGTCAGAAGGTTGCTGTTTCATGTTATATATTTCTATTTCTCAGTTCATTTCTTTATTACAAGACGTCCAGCGAACCATGATTGCAGTTTGTATTTATAGTAACCTGTTTGGTTTTTGTTTAACGCCGACCGCCTCCCTGGTGTAGTGGTTAGAGCGTCCGCCCGGAGAGCGGAAGGTCTCGGGTTCGATCCCCGACCGCGTCATACCAAAAGACGTTAAAATATGGTACTTGTTGGTCCCTGCTTGGCGTTCGGCATTAATGGGTACAACAAGGACTGGTCGGCTCGGAGTCAGTATAATGTGTCTGAGTGGGGTATTCATGCTTCACTGCGGCATGGTATCTCAGTGGGCTAGCACTATAAAACCAGCTTTAGTCTGGGCTAGAACAAGCAGCCGCACATACACATACACACGCATGCACGTCTTCATATGAGCGAAATATTCTCAAACACGACGTTAAACCCAATTTCACCTCACCTCACCTTTGTTTTTAACGCCAAACACAACAGTACAGCTATGAATGCGTTCTGTAAAGAACAGAGACTGGATCAGGCATTCTAGACACTGAAACTATGAGCAATCAATTCACTCAAGTTAGGTACGATGACACGCACCAACCAGGTAACAGAGCGTCAGATCTCAATAGGCATTTTTGCCCGTTTCTTTGAACGAACTAGCTTCCTCTAAAATAGCTCCCAAATACTGAACATCAAATATTGGGAATTAGGGGTATATTGGTTATTACAACACCATTGTCTTAACATATGGAATAATTCACTCGACCATTCTCGAAAAAAACTCCCAAATATTGATAATCAAATACCTGGCATCGTATGGGAATTATGGTTATTACAACACCATTGTCTGAACGTTTGGAATAATTCACTCGACCATTCTCGAAAAAAACTCCCAAATATTGATAATCAAATATTTGGCATCGTATGGGAATTATGGTTATTACAACACCATTGTCTGAACGTTTGGAATAATTCACTTGACCATTCTCGAAAAAAAATTCCCAAATATTGATAATCAAATATTTGGCATCGTATGGGAATTATGGTTATTACAACACCATTGTCTGAACGTTTGGAATCATCAGTCACCGAGTGAGTGGGTAAATGAGTTGAGTCAACTGTTCACTAACTGTATTGTAAATGTAATGCGTTCGGAACAACCCACTTTTGTTGGAGTCATTTATAGTTAAAAATTAAAATATATACATTCAACCTAAAGGCGATTCCGACGATTATTTGGTACAAAAAGGCAGCGTCGATTGTGCGATTCTGACTATATTATAATCACGATGACATCAGGTGTCAGTGAACTGTTGAGTGAAACCTAATCTACCCACTGATCCCGTCATACACATGCACAGGCTAGTCAATTATTCACCTTTACAAAATACGGGGACATGTGGTTTATGTCAAAATATTGTATTTTGGTAACTGATGCGCCAAATGTGGAAATGTCTTCCACATGCCGACCATAAAACTATTTGCCAGATTCACTGAACCTTAACTGTTATAACTTTGATTGAACGACTTCTGAGTGAGGGTCGAATGACACTCTTTGAAATGTTGGTAAACGGAGCATACTCAAGTGTACGTCAAACTGTTGAGAAATGTAAACACCTGCTCAGGCTGGAGCTATTGGAACTTTTCCCGACATTAAGATGATTTTTGGAAAGTTGAAGTCATCATTTATGTCATACAGACCTGTGGAAAGTTTTGTTGTTGTTTCTGATGTTCCTACCTTGCGTCACGAAATATGGCCTTGAACAATAGGTCACAGATAGGACACATGTTTCACGGATATATTTGACTATTTCACTAAGTTGATAGTAAAATAGTCAAATATATCCGTGAAACATATCTTTTGGTTGTTGTTTCATGGTCTATTCAATATTTCTTCAGTTATATGGCGGTATTTTTATGTCTTTCTCATCTCCAGCATCAACCAGAAAGACAGCGGGCAAACAACTAGATAAAGATGTAAACTAAAAACTGTTTTTGTCGCCAACTACGTAACATATTTTATGAAATTTTCAAAATTAGATATCCTGCTAATAATGTTTATTTTTTTATGTCGGTGTAGCTTTTTTCCGACAAAAAATGTTAATAAATGCACATGCAGAATGATCGTACTACGTCGTTTTTATGTGTCTGTACAGGTAAGAATGTAACTATAAATCAGGGTATAACTGTAAACAGCGTCGGGTAAATTTGATGCAATAAATCTTTTTATATTATTTTACGTCGGAATGAAATTTCAGTTCGATGGGAAACACAGAATATACCGACTGCCTTGCGAACGGCTATGGTTGCTGGGCATCTGCTCTAGAATTGAATCTCCAAGGAGGACAATCACACATATCTCGGTCCATGACCTCCCCATACTGTCGGTTATAATGAACTGAAACCACCTGAATCAAACCAGACTGAATTGTCGGTCGGTGCTGTGATATCCGTTTATCGATTTTTTTATATCGATCTGAGCTAAATTGGTCACGGTATGACTAATGATAGATCTACTGATTGTACAAAGGGAAACCTATCAAACTGCTTTCGGTCGAGAGATATTTGCGACATGATATACTGTGCCGTCAATGTCCGGCGTTGTTTTGAATGTGACACGTCAATTCCACTGAAACACCAGTATCGATTTTCCGACGAAACAGATTTCATTGGGCGTAAAAGGCAAATAAGCAGTGAAAATAACAGTGAAATAACATGAATGGATTACTGAAAATCGCTGAAAGCTTAAGCATGTCACTAAAAGGGCAATGTATACGTAATCGGCCTAACAGCGATATCGAACGCAATTTGATTATAGAATTAATATATGTTGTTACTTTCACATATATCCTTATATGAATGTCAGATTCGGGGTAGACGTGGTCTTCAACAACATGTTTGTAGTAAGAGGCCACTGATGGGATCGGGTGGTCGGGCTCGCTGACTTGGTTGACACATGTCATTGTATCCCCATTGCGTAGATCGATGTTTATGCATTTGATCACTGGTTTGGCTGGTGCAGACGCGATTATTTAGAGACCAACGCCATATAGCGTTGAACAAAGACAAACAAAACTAATATGAATGTCAGATTTCTTAATTTTTGAAACATATATATTTCACAGCAGCGTCAGTATCAACCATGTCCGACTCCAAATTGTTTTTTGATTGATTTTGCCACTTTCAGCCAGTGAGACCCTCTCATAAGTAATGTGTATCAGGATGGATGAATTCTAATACTCAACTTGCCTATGTATGTCCATCAATATGCAAGTAACCCTGACTCTGGCTTGTAGATTTTACAACGTATGATGTGCTGTCAAGCAGGTTACGACAACATATTCAAATGGATGTCATATTTGGTTTACGTTGCAACTTTTATAGCCTGGTAAAACTTTCAAAACGTTGACCTTCTGACTTGTTAGATAAAGTTCCAAATTTGACGCATTTGTGACACAAATGATTCCCGAAGCAAATCTTTATTTTATCCTGTACAATCCATGTATGTTCAATTGTAGTTTTCAAAAAGAACAATTGACATGTATCTGCATGTGTTTGTGATGGGAACCAGGGGAAGAGGCATCATGTACAGAACAAGGTGCGAACATCTTGTATCGACACTGTTTGATGGTGATTCAGAACAATTGACATGTATCTGCATGTGTTTGTGATGGGAACCATGGAAGAGGCATCATGTACAGAACAAGGTGCGAATATCTTGTATCGACACTATTTGATGGTGATTCAGAACCACATAATAATGTCGGAATCGTACAATGGAGTCTGAATTAAGCACAAATTACTTGTGAATATGAAATGAAATGAAGTAAAAATGTTTTAACTCCCTGACGCGATAATTTCGTCCTGGCCGCCATATGGCTGTCAACAACATCATCATTCCAATGCATGAGAAGTTTTTTTTAAGAATTTCCCGGCGAAACCAGACAGAACCACTTAATTTAGAGTGCACATTAGTATTGATCCAATTGAAATCTGATAAATTGTCAATGGGTATGTCGTTCTTACAACATATCTGTCAGTTGTAGTTGTGTTAAAGTGACAGCTCAGTTAATATATTTTTCCCCACAGAGAATTTACTTCCTCCAAGACGTCCATTCTATTAATGGAAAAAATCTTTTCACATCGACAAGAAAATAGAAAACCCTCTCCTCATTCATGACAAATCTATGCTAAAAGTCGATTGAAAAAGTGTGCCTATATCATGAGCATATAATTGTTTCAGCAGTATTACAGCTGTACGATGTTGTTTATAAGCAAACCGAGTCAGGACCAGACAATCCAGTGATAAAAGACATATCATCTGGCAGAACTGTGCAAATTCAAAACATCAAAACTAAAGAATGATCAGTCTTAATATTTGCCGAGGCAGATTCCTACTGTCTTCATATTCACAGAAGGTTTAGAGGTTTATTCCAAATTTGACGCATAAGTGCCAAAATTATATCATTGTTTTCATTTGTACCAGAAATTTCCTTGGGTTCTCCTTTAATCGGAACAATTGACGTGCCTTCCTTTTCTGGAACACCAATATTCGTCAATATATGTTTGCTATTTAGTATTTTTGACATAATCGGAATAGTAAGCTTTTGGTAGGGATTTCTTATGATTTACAAAATGGTGTTGTTGCTCTTATTTTCTGACAGGGAACTTGAAGCTTGAAGTACCAACATTTGCAAAAGGTTTCTGAGCGGAAGTGGAGGAATCCATTCTTATATGAAGTCTACACTGATGTAGACAAACGGCATATGTCATGATTTCAGACGATGAGACAACTGATATAGGAAACACGTGTAGCTGAGTTAGGTGATATACTGACAGTACTCACCGGTTTCTCATGACGAACTCCATACCGCTTGCAATGAATAAATTTCCATAAGTACTTTCTGAAGCTTTTACTTGTGTAGAAATATAGAATGGGATTTAAGGCACTGTTTGTGTGTCCAAGGAAGATTGAGAAAGGCAAGATGACAAGAAAATCTGTTGGTTCCTCTTCCGTCTGAAAATCCAGGTACAAACTGACAATATAATACGGAAGCCAGCAGATGGCGAACACTATAGCAAGGGCTATCAACATCTTAGCAACCCTCTTCCTCCCTGCCATTATCCTTTGTGACATTCCCCTACTTATTTCGGACTCACAACGTTTCAGATTCTCGTCCTCTGTCCAAAGTTGCTTCCCAATTAGGCCATAACTGATACAGATACCGGTTCCCGGAATGATGTATACAATGAAGAACAAACTGGCGTCGTACACTTGACGATGTAGGTCATCTGGCCAGTCTTCGTGGCAGAAATGAAACGTCTGTCCAGGGATTATTTCTTCCCTGTCGGTTTTCCGGTATACCAGTAATGGGGACATCACACCGAAGGAAATAACCCAGATGATGGAGATCATCTTTGCAGCCATCTTGCAATTACTTATCCTCTTGAATATCATGGGATGTCGTATGGCTAGGAGACGATCTAGACTCAAGACGGCGATTGTGAAGACGCTTGCACATACCGTCACGCCTGCAAAATACATACATTTCAATGTGAATGGATGTAAAGAACATGTTGGCAGAGGCAAACTGTCAGAAACATCTTCTCCCTACAAATATAGTCTAATCTTAGTTACGATTGTTCTGAGGTTCTATTTGCTATGGTAACAAAGATCATTAGTTCTAATAAACACTTGGGCTAATTGTGTATGTTCGTTCAAGCATTTCCAACATCCAAATAAAGATGAAACAATGTTTAGAACCACAATTTGTGTTACAGTTATTACATCATTTGCAATGTTGGTATTAGAAATATTTAAATATAGTTGTCATTATAGGTCAGAGCGCATATACAATATCAAGTCCACTGAGTGACTGATGTTTCTAATGTCAATGCTCCCTCACAAACTCGCGGACGTCATACCTCTGGCTCCGTCGGTGTAATTAGTTCAGTTTCGAAAACATCATTTGAACAAAGTCAGTAAAATCATATGCAAGCACATCCAGCATTAACTGCAAGAACGTCAAATGCAGGAAATTTAATACACGCCATTCATGTGATTGAACTATCAGCCAATTTTCAAAGCCTACATCTAATTCTTTGTACACTTGAATTATATCTGTTTTCCTTTACATTAAAGGGGTCGAATGCAAATATTAACGAGCATTATTAATCACACATAACCTGATTTACATGTATGAATAGATTCATGTTCAACTAATAAAACTTTAGTTAGTAAAAGTAAGAGATGAAGATGTGTAATATATTTCTATGTCTAGGGCTATGAATCCCATGTAATACTCAGCATGTTTTTGAAACTAGTAAGCGATTGATAAAATATCTGCTGAAGATTTAAGTAAATTTGCAACAGCTACAAAGAACACATCCATAAACACCATGCAGTCAGTTAACACAAAGTAAGATTGAAATCATGTCTCGTGTGTTATTTTTAAACATTTCTCGTCAAACAATGTTTTGTCAAAGTCTTAAGGAAGGGTGAATTTCGCGAAGTTCGCGAAACTAATGATGCGTTTGAGAAGTTAAGCACATAATCGGCAATGCTTATTCGCAAACCGACAGTTACTCCTTAAGTTTCCTCAACATAAAACCAGACTTAATTCTAAATGTGTTGGGTGCGATATTTCCCCTCCTAAATGCCACGAACACGAAAGTCGTCGAGTAGTTAACCTGTTTTACCACCATTTATCATGGCATTGTAAATATACATTTACTCTTAGCCAAATATATCTGGAACATTTACAATGTTTTCAACTTTGCAGCTAGAGATTATGTTTCGGCCGGGGGACATCTAATGGGTACGTTCACCTGAACGTCACAAATCTGTTGGCTTTGATATTAATCACTCATCGATCACGTCTTCTGTCAATTCCTTTAATAACCTCTCAAGTTACTTACTAGGCCATTGTTTGACGATTTATATGAACTGACAATACATATTTGATTTTTATAGCATTGAAGTGCATGAACGCTAGTAGTAATTTGAATGAAGCTTTTGGACAGTGTTCTTTGCGCGCTCGAAAGAAATTGTATTTACGACAACCATTTTTGACGGGAACCTATCAATGACAGTTCTCAGTCTCCTGTCCACCAATTCGTACAAGAATGATTCTTATGCTGCAAGAGGATCACGAGTATTTAGCGAAATTACCGTCTCCATTAGATGTCATCCTCTGATGGATGGTAACACTAAACACATTATTATAAACAAATATTTCAGAGGCGATATATCAAACCACAGACCTTCAGCTCATCATATTCGCTTGATTAAATTCCAATATGATCTTTTCCAAAAGCACAGAAGTTAGCTCCATGTCTTTTTGTGGTTACATGTACCAACAGGAAATATAAGAATAACGCACCGAACGGTGCGGTGCTTGTATGTGAAGCTAATATGATTAGTGTGCATAAACGTATTCTTCGTATAGCATTCCTACGTTGATTTTGGACGGCTAAATGGATTCGCGCTTGTTATATATGCATCACTCCGAGATGAGAAGGGGAGTGTACTGTTTCCCTTAGTTGTACAACTCAAATTGTATTTGTTATTGCACAGACGTAGATGGGAATAGTGCTTATTATATGGGTATTTATATAGCGCTATAGTCCATTCCACATGCATGCTCAAAGCGCTTCTTTGTGTTTCCCTCGATCATTGAATGTCAATCTCAGCGGCACATCTTATTACCAATCTCAACTCCACTAGGCGCACCGAGTTAATTTGACTTCCCCATCCTTACGAGGTACCCATTCACAGCTGGGTGGACTGGGACACATAGTCACAGTACTTTGTTTACTGCACGTTGCTGTACCCGCAACATGTGGCCGTATTCATGTGGCCACCATCTGGTCATTTACCAACGGATTCGTGGGTTCTTTTAAGTGCACTGGGTTGTGTATTGTGCATTATGAGTTGTGACAACACTGAAAGAGTCTGCACACAAAGTTGGTTCCAAAGTTTTTACGCCCGGTCACAGGTGGGCTCGATCCCGACACTTCCAAGCTCGCTGGTTCACCAGCTTGCCGCCTTAGACAGCTCGCCGACCACGTCCCCCGGTGCTTATACTTGTAAAATAATTGTTTCTGTTCACAAAACAATTGTTATCTTTGAGGAGGATTCATCGAAATGCATCTTCTTGGCTCTATCGTCTTAAATTTTTGTTTTTGTGTTTTATGGTCCAAAAATAGTGTGTGCTGATACCAAGTCCACGTACATTCTTAATTTCCCAATAATATTGTACTAGCCGCAGCTTTCTATTGCAGTAATGCAAAATGCACACATCAGTTAAGGCAGAGTTAATAGGACATGGCATCTCGTAGAATGATGATCTCCACAGAGGTGGGGAAGGACTGGAAGGTCGTCAGACGTTTTGATTTATATGACAATGTCCAGAGGAAACCAATCTCGTTTATCTAACTTGGGGGAAGATTGTATTTACATACGATAATGCATATGGCAATCCCATGTGCCACTGTGATTTGATTTTCTGATCCTGTAATCTACTTGTTGTTAAGTGTCACGGAGAAACACCCAAGACTATGTCTGGAAACTGAGATGGCAACAAGTGGCGTCATGTCTGCCATCAAGAACCGGCAACTTACAGTACATATGTCTTGCAATGTCTTAAACTATATATATGCAGGTTTGGGACTCGTATGTTTGGTTGTCTGAAGTTTTTAATTTTGAAATGATTTGTTCCTGCCCAACAACGTTTGTAAATACACAATATTTTAACAAATTTGTGTGTCCTAAATTGGTGAAATGATTTGAAAGAAGGCTGAAGGAAAGGAGGAGTGTATAGACTGTGTGAGATGGGTTTAATGAGTTCGTGTTTCAACAGTCTCTTTGTCAAACATATATCAGACATATGGGCAAAAAGAAACTAAATTATGTCGATGGAGAAATGTCTGTTTCCAAATATGTGTATTGGACCTGAGTGACCTGTGAATAAAATTCAACCAAACCAACACAGCGTGTCAATCCGATTACAGTTATCTGTTTTCGCTGTTTCAATGTCCCACTTATATCAAGGTATAATGTATTTTCGTTGAGCAAATCATTTTGGCTTGTTATTCCTGTTTGCCAAGTTGTAAACATATTTATACTTTTACTAATTTAATTTTTCCCTTGTGTAAATATAGTTTTGGTTGACAAGAATGAACTAATCCAGCATACACGTACTGAAAGTTCAATTAGAATACAAGGTCGTAAATATATCTTGTTTTGTTTGTCTGTTTATTAACGCCACACAATATTCAAGCTTTATTACGACAGTCTGTAAATAATCGACTTTGTACCAGACAACATGATCAACAGCATGAGCATCGATCTACGCAATTGGGATACGATGACATGTGTCAACCAAGTAAGCGAACCCGACAACCTGATCCCGTTAGTGGCCTCTAGCTGTTAGCTGTTGCTGCAGAACTATTCCAATCCGGATCTTCACGAGATCGGGGTTAGAAGGTGATAACCCACACAGCATTATCTTTGTAAGTTTATGTATTTAATGGTCTGCAAGGTTTTGCTTTTGCATATTAATATGAGTTTTTAAATCTATGTTAGTCAGGTACAAAGTTGTATCATCCGAATCTATAAAGGCACGTAATACCACATTCGAAATCATTGCATGAGCATGCTTTGAATGGATTTGAGAGAGATCTTGGCTCAGACTGGGTGATGAGAGCTACCTTCATCTACACCATGACGAAACCTCTCAGGAATTAATTTCGGACAGTTGGCCCGTAAATGGTAGAAAAGTAACTTTTTTTCTATTTTTATATTATTTTGTTAGGGTAATGAACTTCTTGCTTGTGATATACCATTAACAGTCAAGATCCGGGTTAGAATTGGTCGTCAACCCATGTCGTAAAAGACGACTAGCGGGATCGGGTGGTCAGACTCGTTTACATGTCCTCGTAACCCAAATGCGTAGCTTGATGTTTATGATGTTGATCACTGGGTTATCTCTTCCAGATTCGATTATTTATAGACCGCCGCCATATAGCAGGAATATTGCTGAGCTCGGCGTTCAACAACAAACCAACCAATCTTGTACCTCCGATCTGTTTACGTCTATTAATGAGTAATGGTATTTGTTCCATTGCATCCCACTCCAGACATGTAATATCCATATGGTCTCCAGGACATTGATGTACCGGTGGTTATTTGACTTGACCCCGTTCCCCTACGTTATGCAAGATACCGCATGCTTATTTTTATCAGAAAAGACATTCCTCCAGACATTCTTGTTTCAATTTACAATTTCATTTTCAGTGAGACGTTACATATATAATTTCCTCAAGAAAAGACATTTATCTAACGACTTTTTCTGAGTTTCAATTTCCTTCACTGTTAGATGAATTATTTCTTCATTCAAAGACAATCTGTCAAACAATTTTTGTTTCACTTTACAATTTCAGTCACATAGCAGCAATCAGTTTTAGAACTGGCACTTAAATACAGCAATGAAACACCCTTCTATGAGGCATCTGTCCCCGGAGTAACACGT